TGGACACTTTAGTATTCAAATATTATAGCTTCTTGTTAAAAAAAAAAGACATCACAACTTTGCCTGATGTTTTTAGGAAGAGTGGGATATTCTCTTAGATTTGAGACTTTAAAAATGTAAAAATTGATATTTTCTCCTCTGTCTCCTCCTCAAATTTTAAATATAAGTATAACTTTAGTGTAACATTTTCTCCTTTTTTAAGACAAGGTCAGCCACTGAACACAATAGTACTTACGCAGCACACCTACCTTACACCTAAAATAAGACTAGCTTCTCGCCTACTCATTTTCTGTTCAAATCCTCCTTTATAGTAGGATGTAAGGCTCTGTACAGGGAAGAAAGAGCAAGAAACAATTAGTTCCATGCCTGAGGTGGCATGACCTCAATCTCATCACACAGTCGCAATGAGAGTAATGCATTTTACTAGAAGTCAACTTGAAATTGTGGGGAGAAAAGCACAAAACAATGATCCTTTTAAAGAAACTTTGACCAAGAATGCTTTAAAAAAATTAATCATTTTTTTTGTTTAAAAACACTAATTTTTGACACTGAAATATAACCAAAGTAACAAAAGAGATGGTAGAAGCAAAATGCCTGACCTTTCTCTAAGCTCAGCAGTACTTTTCTCACTGGGTAATCTTGACCAAGTCATTTGATATTGATATGTCAGACATTGTTTTGCCTGCTCTACTGGCTGACAGAGAAAGAGGAGGAGGAATTGGCAAAGTGGAAAGTGTGTCAGGATTGTAGACAGGCAAGTCAAGATGGGCTGGGACACTGGATTGAAAGATTTTAGTTTAGCTGGAAAGGTGAGAATGAGGAGAAGTGGACTGCAGAGATAATCAGGGCCAGATTTGTAAGCAATGGAAAGAATTAAGAATTTTATTTTAAGTGGGAGAACCCAGAGCACTGGATTTAACACAATCTGATGGTTCTGAAAGTTTTATTCTAACTGGGAAGCGGAGAATACAAAGGTGGGAAGGTGGAAGCAGGAAACCAGTAAGAGATCATAACAATAATCCAGGCAAGAGGTGATGGTATTATGGACTAAGGTGGTAGCAGAGGAGGTGGTAACAGAGGCTCAGATTGTGGATGTCGTTTGAAAGTAGAACTAAATGCTTCTTCGATGCAATGAATACGGAATATCAGAAAAGAGGAATTAAGAAGGATACAGAAGACAATTATGTGCTGGCCAGATCCCCCATCAGGAAAGACAGACTGACTCCTGGGACGGTGGGGTTGCTGCTGGCAGATAGCTTCTAGCTCTCAGATGTGTTAGGAATCACCTAAAGAAAGCTCATGTCCCCTTCCCAGGACAGTCTATATCTGATGCCTAGTTAACACAGAGGGCTAAGTTCTCTAGGGTTCAGTCCTTTGACTTCTTGTCTACACTCACTCCTCATTTAGTCTCATGGCCCCTGGCTCTAACTCTGCTCATTTGTCTTAATAGGAATTCCCAAAAGAGAAGTGATGGTCCTAAAGGTACAGATATTCTACCTGTACCTGTATTGGAGGAGCATTGCAATAGATATAGTACTTCAGATAGTAGACAGTTTCAGAACCCCAGAAATCCAAATAAAGCATCTGCTAGACACATTGTGATTAACTTTGCCAAAGTTAAGATGAAGGAGAAAATTCTGCAAGCAGCCAGACATAAGAAAAGCATCACCTACAAAGGGAGAAATATCAGAATGACT